ATTCTGCTTTGTGTCTTAGTATTATTGTAGTAATTTGCTTTTTTTAATTATTTTTATTTTCTTACTATAACCTTGTCTACCATTTTACCATGTCATTAATTTTACCATGTTGTTGTTACGTGCTGTTGAGTGGGTTCTGACATGTAGTGACTCTGTTATAGGGTTTTCCAAGGAGTTTCTGGTGAACTTGAACTGCCAAATGTGATTAGCACTCCATTGTTTACCTTACAGTGCCACATTATTCAAAGGTTTTTGCTAAAATTAGAAATACATATTACTGGTGAATGAAATGCAAAGGTAGAGAGCAAAGAGGAAGGATCAGTAGTTGGAAAATATGGCCTGGGTGATAGAAATGATACTGGAGATTGCATGATAGAATTCTGCAAAATCAATGATTTGTTCATTTCAAATACCTTCTTTAGAAAGCATTGTTGTTGTTGTTGTTAAGTGCCGTCGAGTCGTTTCCGACCCATAGCGACCCTGTACAGGCATAAGAGACGATTATACACATGGTCCTCACCAGATGGAATACATAGAAATCAAATTGACTACATTTGCAGAAAGAGACGATGGAAAAGCTTCATATCATCAGTCAAAAGAAGGTCAGGGCCAGACGTGGAACAGACCAATAATTACTCATATGCTAATTCAAACTGAAGCTGAAGAAAATGAAAACAAGTCCACAAGAGCCAAAATATGACCTTGAATATATCCCACCTGAATTTAGAGATCATTTGAAGAACAGATTTGATACATTAAACGCTAAAGACTGAAGACCAGAAGAGTTGTGGGATGACATCAGGAATATCATACATGAAGAAAGCAAAGTTATTGAGAAGACAAGAAAGAAGGAAAAGGTCAAAATAGATGTCAGAAGAGACACTGAAACTTGCTCTCAAGGATAGAGATGCTAAAGCAAAAGGAAGAAATGAGGAGGTCCAAGAGCTGAACAGAAAATTTCAAAGATCAACTCGAGAAGATAAAGCCAAATATCACAACAAAATGTGCAAAGATCTGGAATCAGAAATCCAAAAATGAAGAACACGCTCAGCATTTCTCAAGCTTGGGGAACTGACAAAAAATTCAAGCCTCGACTTTTGTTATTGAAGGATTCTCTGGGCAAATTGTTGAATGATGCAGAAAGCATCAAGAGAAGAGGGAAGGAATACACAGAGTCACTGTACCAAAAGGAAATTAATG